TCAGATTCCCAATCCAAATCATAGATTGGGATGTTTTGGCTGGATACCAGGCGGGTTTGTTTCAACCTCTCAATGTCCTCCAAGACAATCGGGTGATCGTTCGGAAAGAGCAGGTCAGCCCTTAGAATCACTTTGAAAACGATGTAAACCATGTCACAGGAAAACCAGCCAAAAAACATACATCACCTCTCTCCCCTAAAAATTGTTTTACATTACACACATTTTGAAAGACAAATCTAAGAGTCGGGGCAGGCACAGCAAAACCCTGCAGCCTCCGGTACACAATCTTGGCAGGATCTTCCAGGTTCTCATTGCTCAAAATGTTGCCCTTGAGCACCGACCTGGGCTGAAGACTATGACACACTATGCATGATCCCAGGACTAGTTCAAACTCACCAATGTCGGAGGTTGAAAATCAAAGTCTTCTCCAAAAGGAATTAAAACAAACTAACTATAACAACACAAAAAACATACAAAACAGTGTGACTTTGGTTCAGCTCTGCAAGGAACTTGTGAATCAGCAAAATGTAAACCCTTCGGCGACTCACGCATTCCCCCAATTTGCAAGGGTCAATCAACAGGCGACAGTAGAGGTATGCCCGCTGCCGGTTCAGATATTTCTCAACTGAACTCCAGCACCGCAGGATACCAACCACATTCTCAAGCACACTCACCAAAGGCTCACATTTATATATCGTACGCATAGCTTCTCGAAATACTTCAACTTCAGCCTCCCCCATCAAAGAACTGTTGTTGTGGAGGAGAGAAAATGGCTGGCATGGGAACCCGCAATCGTAGCAACCAATAGCACGTGGCAAGCTGGAACGGTCTCGCTTCAACATGTTTGTGTACATCCTCACTTGTTAGGAATAGAAGGACCCTAAACTGCTGTGGCTGAAACAAGTTGAAAAACATACTGTCATCTTCAAGCAAAAAACCTGACACATCTTGTCTTTGCTCAACCATCATGTACTAGGTGGAAACCAAGTGGAACTATGCATGGCAAAGGTTCAGCCTTGCATTGGTGTTGGCCACAAGGAACTTCAGGCACCCATGTGCACATTCAGTATGACAAACCAAATTGGCCCGGTCCCCAGTAAGCTCCTTCAATGCCCACCAAGATCCACTCGCTCCAGTACCTTGAAATCATGTCCAGCGCAAATAACAGCAAATAACAAGTCAACGGCCAAAGAGCATGTGGACACTTAGTGTGGACAGAAAAAAACCTGCAAACCAAGTTTCAATCTGACATCAACGACAGCGGTGTGTTCAGGGCAGCTAGGAAGTCTGTAATTCCTGAGTGGCTGTCCAAACAAATCTGAAATCCAAGTAGAAACACCCAGTCAAAGTTGCCACTTTCAAGGCTGTTGAAACGCAATCAGTGAATAGGCCATATTTAGTTTAGCCCATCATCACCAGCTATCATGTTCATGCCCCCAGTGACTTACAGCAAGCAAAGTGTCCACCCCTGGTTGCCATAGCAAGACCCCAGCCAGAGACATGACCTCGTTGTACGGCAGAAAGCTGCACATGGGGCCTCAAGTCTGGAGTCCTTAGGTGGCTGAACAAGAATGTGAAAAGGAACAACCACATGGACACCTTTAGAAACTCAAGACTTGGGAAATGGAAAATGAGTTTCATTCCAAGTGTTTAACTAGTGTTTGTCCAACACTGCGATCATCTGCCCAAGATTTTGAACCGAGGATCACAGTCATTTGAGCTCTGCCGAGTATGTCAGAACTCTCAGTGGATGCCGATGTGGTAGCAGCGGCAGATTCAGCAGAGCTACTCTCATCACTACCACACTCATCACTTTTACTTTCCGAAGATTCACCATCATCGGAGTCAAGTGCTACCGGGTCAAACCGGGGAGACCTAGATCTAGACCTCCCAGCCATTAGAGCCAAAACCCTTGCAAATTTCCAATAAGGAATTCAATTAAGATATCACTTGCTGAATCCAGTGGTAATTCAATAGCACGCCAGCATTCGCTAATGCTGCCAGGGAACGTAGAGATATCGCTGGTAGAAAAACCTGAGAACACAAGGGGTGGCAGTCATAACTTGTTTGACAATGCCCCGATATGGACAAAAGAAAGAGGAAATGAAGGAGTAGAAACTGCAATCCAAAAGTTCCAGACAGCAAACCGCCAGCCAAAGAATAAGAGATCCAATCCAAGACTGCATTTAAATCCATTGGTTTAACCAACTCATTTCATCACAGCAGGCCCAACCCCAGCCCACTTGTTTCACAAAGCTTTGCTTGCGCACCTAGCATTTCCCAACAGTTGCATGACCTGTCGCAAGACGTTTGAAGCAACAAAATGTCATTCCTAATCATGTTCTATTATTCCATTACCATCTCTATGTTCTATTGCTTACAGGTTTCTTTGCATGGTCATGGTTTCCAAGGTGGGGCTGTCAGCTGACTAATCTTAGCGACAGCTGCAGACACTCGCACCAATTCAAAAATTTTGTCCAGCGTAAGCACTGGATTGGTCCCGCATTTGTCGTCATCAAGGATCATTTGGTGAACCTGAGTAAAAACTCCAGACCAAACCAAAACTGAAAGTGAGGGGTGGCTCAATTCAAGTTTACAACAAAAAACAACTATAATGAACTCTTTGTATGGTGTGTGTCAGAGCTCCTGCTGCCGGTTGAGGGAAACATAGGGAAACCAAAAGTTAGAATAAAGCGAGGGACCCGTCTCAAAGTTAGTGCTGCATAAGCTTCTGCTCCATCGTTTGCATCGATCACAAAATCCATCTCTTCCTGATGCAGTAGTGTTGGAAGGTTTGGAAAGGCCCACAGCAACAGAACCATGCCATCTTGAGGTTGAAAATAAACATTAAAATCATGGTACAAGTTGTTCACCAAAACATTGGACAATCTGTTGAGTGTTCCTGCACCAAGATACCATTCTTGTCATGGTTGGTGGGAAGAGGACAGGAGGTTGATCAGGCTTCACGCAGCTCACAACTGTACACTGGGATGGTTGATCACGATGTTCTTCTTCAGGTATCCCTCCTTCAGGACAAGACAACAACTTTTGAAGCACCAGTTCAAACATGTGGATTATTTCCTGTCATGGCTGTTGGGCTCCAGGTTTTAACCAGCAACAGTGTCATTATATTTGGGCCCAAATGTCCTGTAGCATTCAACTTGGAGGATGTGCCAGAATCACAACCATGTTGAGACTCTTGAGAGGACTTGACCGGAAGCACTGGCATAGGAGGACGGCCTTGCAGGGGCAATGTGTTTGGGAACCTGTTTTGAAACAACTGCTTTGAAGCTTGAAACCAACAAACACTTTCTATAATATATAAACCAGTGGCTTGGATCTTCACACTATAGTCACTGGCCTTCATGAGGAGGGCTTGGATTGAGCCGCCTTCTCTTGCTCACCAAATCCATGTGAGGGCAATCGGGGTACCTTTTCTTTAGCTCCGGAATCTGGGCCAATGCATACTTCCTAAGCTGGAAGTGGCTGGTGCAGATCTACCTTTTTTGCGTAGTAGTGAGTGGTTTCACTTTCTTGTGCCTATGGTTAATGTCCCCTGCACCAACCAGCCCACCACTAGATACCAATAATAGCCCTCATAAATCAGTTGTGGATGTTGATCCAAATCCCAGAGACACAAGTGAGGGCACCAAGATGAAAGTGACCAACTGGAAGCCAAGCGGCACAGTGATGTAGGCAGTGTGAATCGGCAGACCACGGTTTGTCGTTGCCGGCTTGACAGTGTTCTGGAAAACAATCCTGAGTTTGCAGCAGGGGAGGACTTTCCAGAACTAGCCGCTAGCCTTCCAAAATATAAATGGGTTTGGAAAGAAAAGATACATGGCTGAATAACATTTCAAGGCTCTCAGCACTGTGCTTCACCTCAACCCTGGAATGGCATGGATCGATCGGCTCCATGGCAGAGGTAGGTGAGAAAAAACAGTGGCACTTTTTTGAGCCAAGCGCCACTAGCGATTGGCGATAGGGGTATCATGAGGTATCCCAAAGTCCCCGGCTCGCCAAGAAGCATTGATAAGATCAGCCACCACCAATCATTCAGAACCATGTACCTTAGCTGGAGTGAGGAAGAGAGGACACCATACTGCCCACTTTCAAGTCAACTGATCCAACAATGATATGTTTTAATTTCAGCCTGGGTACAGGGAAATCGAAGTGGATGAAGAAAGGGCAGCCAACTGTTTGAGCCAATATTGGTCCAATCCTTAAGGACCTGCTTGCAAATGACAGAGGACCTGGAAACAATGACATGAGCTTATATATATATTATATATACACATATTACTATACAATGGTTGTTCAGCAAAGCAAATTTATCGGGCAACTCTCAGAATCGGGCACGAATCTAAAGGAGAGAGTGTGGCTCGATGCCAACATGCGGGTATGATTGCACCCCTTTGGAGCCCCCCATGAGGTTCTAAGGCTTTTGCTTGAGTCATAGATGAGGTGCTTTGTGTTTAGAGATTTGCTGGAAAGGCCCCTCGCCTGACCTCTAAATGGAAGGATGATAGTATATTCTCCAAACTAAGAGCAAAGGAGCAGTACAGCTGGTGATTTCTTTGGCCCCTCAATTTCCATAACCTACAGTGGTTGCTTGGAAGTGTCCACACGGGCTATTTGTTTACATGCACATACATGCAACAACAAAAACATGACAGGTTGGGGCTCGGTTGGGGGGTTCTCTATGTTCCCCCAAACATCATATATTCCGCGCGGCCTGGCAGCGTTGCGAGCCGTGCAATGCAGCAGGTGACCCTCTAGGGAATCACACTTGGATGGCAGCCAAACGCCTAATTTAGCATGCCATCACTTTGCGATCTGATCACACCTACAGCCTTCAAAACATATCAAAATCGCCATGCCATCAGGGAAAAAAACATATCAAAACATATAGTGTTTCCCTTATGCCTTGGGAACATGCCATCCAACACCGAAAAAGCACGCCGACCCTCGCAGGCGACCCGGCCCCGCTAGACGTCCAGGTGCGGCCGGTCCTTTGGCCGGAGTGAAGAGGTGCTCTTGCCGCTGAGGCGCGGGAGGGGAGGAGCCAGGATAGGCGGTCCGGGTTGTGGGATGTGGCGGTCAGGTGAAATGATAGGCTCCAGAGGAAAGGCACGGACGGAATGAACAAGGATGGGAACGCAAAAGAAAAGGGAGCTGTAGATGTTTATAGAGTGCAGGGCGCTAACCATATGATATATTATGCATTGAGACAGATCAGTGGGCGTGCGCCCAATTTGACAGCCTTATGATATCATGTTATTATAGAGCTTCAACAAAGATGACATGTTCAAGCAGCTCTCCAAGATGTAGTAGAACATGCGTTGGTTTTTTCCAATTGCCACTTACGGCTGCTTATGACTATGCTCTCATATATATATTGCCTCCAAACTTCCAAGTCTGCATCGTTTCAGCATCTGGTGGAGCTCCCACCCAGGCCCAAGGACAGACACACGCCGGGGAGTCCCAGAGTGACAGAATCCGTTGGAGGCCGTTTGGAGTCCGTGTAGTGACCCTCATCTCGAGGACCACATGGACCCTGACCATGTCGGGTGGTATATGAGAATCGTCTTAGAGGGCGGCGAGGTGTCCGTGGGGGTCCTGAGATGAGATCGGATGGAAGGACCATGAGACCAACCCAACAGGTCTTCATTTCACTTCAGACCGACAGGCCTACATGACGACTCCGACCTCTAGAGGACACAGTTGGCACATCAATGAGGGGTGAGGGTTGCGACTTCTTCACAGAATCTGTTCAACTTCAGATCCTGGTACTGGGAAGGTTGTCCGAGGGTCATCTCAGGGGTCCTGTATTCAGCCATATGATGGTGTCCCCCAATGTCCCCCAACCGTTCACCGCTGAAAATGAGTCGAGATCCCCAAACCCAGTGGTCAGGGGCAGGCAAACAGCATGAAACCAAGCCCTGGCAAAGTCCGAGGTCGTGGCTTCGACTGTATTTGTGCGCGTAAAGAACTACTCGAAATGACTCCAACCAATCCACTGCTCCGGAAAAACGGCTCTCCACTTCCAATCTCCAAAAAAGACTAGACAGCTAAGACTAGAGAGGTGTTCTAGAGTCTAGAGCAAACCAAATTCTGGAGGGAGTAGAGTGGTGTTTTTGTTTTTCCTGTGCTGGGTTCCCCTACCAATCATTGAATCCGGAACAACCTCCATGTACGGAATACATGCCGACATATCCTACATGTCATTGTTCCCCCCAAACCACCCCCAACCCATCAGAAAAAAGTAAGATAAAAAGCAAGACAGTGTCCCATGGAGTGTACGCAGCTTGACGAGGAACAACTGTGATTTGACCCACTTCCATCCTTGCTTGCTTCCCTTCCCGCAGCCCGGCTCCACGCCCTTCACCGGGGGCCGTTCCCTCCGCCGTCGCGCGCCAACGTCCGTCGCGCGACTGGGCGGGGGGCGGAGGGGAACACCCTCTGTCTTCGGCGCGTTCTTCCCGCGGGGCCCAAGACATGCCGATTGGGGCGCTGAACCTCCGAGCGCCCCAAAAGCCGCTCGCCGCCGCGGAGACGGCGGCGGAGCCGACGGTGGAGCCGTCTTCCGGAGTGCAGATCTTCAAGGGATGGACGAAGGATCCAGAGACTTGGGCGAAGATGAAACAAGACGAAGAGGCAGGAAGTCGGTGGTTCCAGTTGGAGGTGAAAGTTCAAGAACAGTGAGCAATTTCAATAACTGAAGGAACTACTGAAGGACCAGTGCAGGACATTAATGACTAAAGGATGTGCAAAGCATGATTAGATATCTTAGATCATAACATCATATAGTCTGATTTGACCGAGTGTGTTTTGGTCATTGTCCTCCAAGTGGTTGAAGGCATGTATTGGAGCCGGGGATGCTTCCTCAGTCATGGTTGTAGTGGGTTAGGGGATGTTGGGCCATGATCATTGATCATCCACTTTCAAAAGATGACTTATGCTATCAATCAGCCTTGGTAACGGGAGGGTGGCCATTCCCCACAAGGTGTTTGACAATGAATGAAGCATGTTCAGACAATGCGCATGAAGATCTTTGGCTTTGAAGGCAGTCTTCAGGATTCCAGCCAATGATCTGGGAGAAGACACTCCAGGCGAGGTCCAAGTTGAACCTTTTTCACTTTTCACTTGCGTGGCTGGTGTTTCTTTTAGGTAATACTGCCAGTTGTTGAAGTCGAGACGTGTTTTTTTTCAAATAGCAGATAGAAGGTGATGAGCAAACCAGGAAGTCGATACACTATAGCGTTTCCTTGCAGGATAGAGTGTGTTGGAAGATGTTTTCTAAATGCATGGTTTTATTCAATGGGTTTGTTTTACTCAGCGTTCACAGTGTTTTGATTGCACAAGACCTACCGCAAGGAAGTTGGCAGGCAACCCATAGGTTGTTTCTAGAGGTTTCTATAGGCAGCCCATAGGTTCCCCTTCATCTTGGGATTGTGGGTCTCATATGTCCAACCCTCCAAGGGCTTATAGGGCCAACCCTCGGAAGCAGGGTCCTCATGGAAACCTGGCTTCCGCTGTGAAGCGGGCCCACTATTGAGTGGCATGAACTTGTGCCAGATGAGGTGTGCCCTTGAAAGAAAGCTTGATTGGGCTACCTTCGCTGGTGCTGCCGGTCTGCTGCTGGTTGTTTGCTGCTGCTGCCTTGCTGCTGCTGGTTGGCTACTGCTGCTGCTGGCGGTTGGCTGCTGTCGGCTTGCTGCTGGTTGGCTGCTGCTGCTGCTGCTGGCTGATTGGTGCCGGTGCTGCTACTTGCTGCTTGGTTGCTGCGGGTGCTGCTGCTTGCTGCTTGCTGCTGCTTGTCGCTGCCGCTGCTGCGGCCTGGGCTACAAGGCCTACTCATTTGCTGCCTGTCATTGTCTTGCACGCCCTATGATTATAGCAGGCTTCTTCCATTGCAGACTGGGCATTGGAAACGTGACATCAAGCTTGGTGGCAGGCCTGTTTGGTGAAACGCGGTGCTCTATGCGGAAACAAGTATCGCAAGGACGTTGCCGTGACTTAGTCGCGGCGTGGTGTCCCAGTTTTTGATTGGTTGCCACAGCTGCATTGCAAGGACTTTGTGTTTGGGCGTTAGTGGGCATGGGTCTTCTGGGCAAACGTGTTCATCTCGCCCAATACCTCGCCCACATCTCGCCCTCTATCTCGCCCAACCCACCAGGCACCAGGACCTCCAGAGGTGTGCGATGGGGATTGCCATTGTCACAACACATATGTGTATATAAGCAAAGGCCTCTTCAATTTACATGGCCCCCCAGGCAAGGAGCGATTTGCAGGGCTCATGTTTTCATGCGTTCATGTTCACATTTTTCGCAGGTGTGCCACGCGGAAGTGTGTCCTGCACAGTCGTTGAAAGACAGGAACGCGCACACACAGACACCAAAGAAGGCAAAACGCAAGCTAACCATGGTTTTTTCGCGGTCTTAGCATACTTCTGGCAGAGATCGGAAGCCGATGTGCCATGGGGACAATGTGGGATTTGCTCCTGTGATGTGGGATTGGTGAAAACGGTGTGCCATGGGATGATGTAGTTTCTAGCCTCTGCTGGTTGGGTGCTGCTGCTGCTCCTGCTGCTGCTGCGCTGCGCTGTTTTGCTGCTGGTGGTCGGCTGCTGCCAGTTGCTGCTGGTTTGCTGGCGCTGGTTGGCTACTATACTGCTGGTTAGCTGCTGCTGGCTTGGTGCTGCCTGCTGTTTGGCTGCTGCTGGTTTGCTGCTGCCGGCTTGCTGCTGCTGTTTGGCCGCTGCTGGCTACCTTCTGCTGCTGTTGGGTTGTTGGTGTTGTTTTGCTGCTGGTTGTCTGCTGCTTGCTGCTGCCACTGCCGCTGCCTGCGCTACAAAGCCTACTCATTTGCTGCTGGCTGTTGTTGCACAAACCCTATCATTGTGGGAGTGTCCGGTTGTAAACTGGGCTTGGAAAGCATGGTTTTGGCTTAGATGGCCTGTTTGGTGAAGCGCGGTGTCCCATGCGAAAACTAAGTGACTCTGCCGTGACTTAGTCGTGGTGTGGTGTCACAGTGTGATTTGCTTGCCGCAACTGCTTTGCAAGGACTTTCGTGTCTGGGTGGTTGCCCTCGAGGTAGGAACTTAAAGGTGGTGCCAACATGTGGGTGAGAATCGGTGTGCCATGGGGGTTGGATCATTTCAGCCCATAGGAAACCTTAGAACCCATCAACGTGTAGAAGATTGAATCGCAATGGAATGGTGTAGGTTTACAAACAATCTAGGCTGGGAGAAAAAGTGCTTGTTTCGAAGCGGTGCGCCATGGGGATTGGGAGAGGAATAAACACAAGAATGCATAGATATTTTTGACGTTTAAAGAACAATTCCATGCTGTTTGCACTCCAGGTAGAAACTTAAAGCTGGTACCAACATGTGGGTCAGAATCGGGGTGCCATGGGGATTGGATCACGGCAACCCATAGATAACATTTGAAAACATTAACATGTAGAAGGTTGAATCGCAATGGAATAGTGTAGGTTTAGAAACAATCTAGGAGAAAAAGTGCTTGTTTCGAAGCGGTGTGCCATTTTGTCCAAATGGGGTAAGTTCTTACATTCGTGGGGTAAGCGGGGTGCCATGGGGGTGGGTCAAGTTCATGTGCGATGGGGTAAGTTACCACGTCGAGTGGCTCTCCAAATTGCGTTGCCATTGGGATTTGCAGTTGAAGTTTTCTCTTTTTGGAAAGGCGAATCTGGAGAACCTTGTTCTGTATGTAGCGTTTACAATGGGGAAGGCCAGCAGTCTTGACTTAAGTACTGACTTTTGCAAATCGGCGTTCCATGGTGGTTTAGTATCCCACATGCAAAATGTATTAACTTCAACGGGCACCAGTATTGGTTTTGCTTAGCGTGATGCTTATATATTCCCGAACTGGGTGACTCCCCTAATACACACCCTGAAATCATCACCGAAGTGGAAAACCATTTGTTTGGTATTCGGAGAATGGTCATCCAAGGGGTCATGGTTTCAGGGAGTGTAAAGACTACACCCAGATACTCCATAGATATATGTATCTATAGCTTTACCTCCTCATGTCAACGTAGGTTCCGTTGCCATGATTCAAGCTGCTGAGTGGGTGGTGTCAGTAGCTCTGAAATCAAAGGTTGTTTGCTCCCGGCCAGTGGGCAGAGATAAGAGCATCCCTGTGAGCCACAAGCCAGGAGCCTTGAGTAGTAGTATAGAGCCCTTCACTGACTGATTTGAGGCAACTCTGGCAACTCTTACTCCAGAGGAGCCAGCCTTGCTTGGAATTTCCAAGAGATTTGTACTCCTGGTATGCGAGGAGTAGGCTTGACGAAGAGTCATATACCACAAATATCTATATAATTCTATAAATACCTTGAGGACTATGCTGGGCGGATATGGGAAGTAGGTACAGGAAGTGGTGAAGTGGTCACCCAGTGATTAATTGCTAAGGGCCGATAACCCAGTGCTTCTTCAGTGATAGTCAGCTG